CCCCCACAGGCTAGATAGCGCTGTTAATGACAATAATGTGAGCTTCCTCACAGCAACCTGGCAATGACCTCTGCTCTGACCTGCAGAGACCACTGTCTCAAGAGGTAAAAGACAATTTAGTCCTTTATCCTTTGTAACTGAAATGACTCCAGTGCCATAAATTCTAATCAAGGCAACTCCGATTAAAAAAAAAAAAAAAAAAGGATAATGTATGTTTCCTTAAAGAATACAAGGGATCTACTAGCAGAACACAATCAGCTAGAAACAACTTCCACCCTGTTCTGCTACAGCATATATGTGTATGCTTATACAGAAAGATGCATGCAGTTCTGAAACACGGGTAACAATATGGGAAAGGAAAACACAATCCCAAAGCCAATGCAGGGGCTTGAAAATAAACCCTTGTTTATGAAAATGTTTCCAGATTCATTTAACTCGCATATCTCTGCTCTGTATTTCAAGCATACACAGCATTATGAAAAAAGCAAAAAATTGGTAGCGAACCAAATGAAACCACAGTCTTCAGATCCAGCACAGGAAACCAAAGATTTAATTTCACTGGAACAAAACCTTGCCAGCAAAAAAAAAAAAAAAAAAAGGTTAGCAGTCAATTTTTTGCTGTCCTGCAATTATTAAATAGGAAACACTTGTGCTCCACAATTATAGGCTTGGTCTTGCACTCACTACATACTTACAGCTTTATTTATTTCAGTAAGTTTGATGCATAGAACTACAGGTTTGATCTCAAAGAGCAACTTTTTATAACACAGTAAAATTACCTTAACATGCAAATGCACTGCCAGCTTTCTTTTTACCATCATCTAATTATGTCATAAATTACCTTCAGTTAAGGGTGAATTAAGGACTGGATCTAACTCCAGGAAAAACAGCTTCAGTCCACAGGGGCTTCTGGTGCTTGGACTAGCCACTTCTTTCCTGGGATTTTTACTGTACAGAGAATTTTATGTACGACATATCCCCGGGTGTCGATACCAACTTTTGAATCTCAACAGTTATAATATTATACAGCTCAACACAAATGGGATTTTTTTTTTCTTACTAAGATTTTTTTTTCAGACCAATACTTCATGACTTATTCTAAACTTGTTTAAAGATACCGTATAGAATTGCAACTAGGATTAATTAACTCAGGTTCAAATCCCAATGTGTTTATTCAAGTGAAGCTACTACTTAGCATTAACAAAAGCTTCCTCCAGTAAGAGCTGTGGCATTTAGTCTGGGTTACTATTTTGAAGCATATTGCAGAGTAAGACAAGTTGATCTGAAAATGACACCACCAGGAATGTCAACAGCCAGACTCAGGTTCTCTGTTTCTTAATTACATGATATGATGAAAATAGGAGATACTGCTTCACAAATATTTTAAAGAGTAAATAATACACCACAAGATCTCTTGCAAAGCGACTTTGCCTCATACTGCTCAGCAAAACTGGGATTTCTGTAAATGATGTGCTAACTCCACACTTCAAAATGCTAATGTATTTCAGGATAGGGTCCTCCACCAAAATTTTGCACTTCAGAAAGTATTTTTCACTGTGTCTTTTCTTGTTTCATGTTATCTCAGTAGCAAAGGTCTTTTGCGTGCAGGTATGGAGATTCCAAAAAGTCCACTGATATAAGTGCACAAGCAGAGGATTAGCGATGCAAACCCCCAGACTACAGGCCAGCCTTTTCTTTAAAAAAAAAAAAAAAAAAAAGAAAGAAAGAAACCCAACCCCCTCAAAAAACCCAACCCAAACCCCCCCAACCACTATCAAGAGAAAGCAAGCAAGCACAACCCCTCTGATCACAGCTGCTCCTGTCATCACTCACAGGAAACAACTGCACCGCAGTGACAAAGTGCATCTTCCCAGACAGCTGTGCACCAGTTTCAGGTGGGAGCTATTTCAGATCGTCCGAAACTTATCCCAGCTCCTCTCAGTATTTCTGAGGCCCAAGGACCTGCAGCATTCACCTGCTTTGTCACTGATAGCAAGACACTCAGAAGAGAAACAAAAGTTTACTGCATATCTTCCTAAGTCAAAACCAATAACGATTAATTGTACTCCTGCCCTCTCCTCACCTGCAGCAGGGACTGTTGTTGAAGAGGTGCCATTTTTACAATTAATTGTGCTATCTGCCTCCAAAACAAAAAATAAATCCCCAGTGCTTCTATGGTATGCAGTGAAATACTGAAACAAGGAAGTTTGAGAAAAAGGAGGTGGGTTTTCGGAAAAGGTACAGGTGAGCAATACAGGTCCTTGCAGAAATAAACGAATCCATCAAAAGAAGCTAAGCAGAATGTGTCCGGTGAGACAGAAGAAAGCTCTTTGCATCTAATCATTCAACTCTGTTCATCTATATGAAAATAAGACTCACGAAATATTGCCAGCATCAACAAGACACTCAAATGCTGGTCATTCATTCCAACTAAATCAGTACAGGATTTCCACAAATTTTTCAAAAACTGTGAAAGCAGCAGTGTAGAAAAACTTTCTTCTCTATGGACCTGTGTCCTCCCCATGACTTTCCAAAATGCTCCTCCCTCTCCTGCTTAACAGGTTTTGGGCCAATTTTCACAGAGCATATATTAAATGTTATACTGTAAAAAGAAAATTATTATCTCTGATCACATAAAAGAAAGTTGGAAAAGAAAACTGTCAATCTCTATGCCATCACATATCAGTAAGTCCACAAATAATTTAATTTCAGAGACTGCAAAGAAAGGCCCAAAGTACGCATTCCTAACATGCTATTCTTAACATTAAACAAAGAGAAACAGCTATAGAATAATGCTCCATATTTATGTATCAAAGCTTTAAACAAAACTACGCTTAATTATTTTAAATGTTTACTGCAAATCTATCTTAAGGGATGCATCTGTGATATAAAGGCTAAACATCTTTGTTTTAAATTTGCTCAGATTCGTCCTCAAATGTGTCAAAATAGCCCCACTGTCCTTTCTTTTATGTTCTCAAAGTTACCAAAATTAACTGACAAGGGCTGCTGCTAAAAGATCTGTAGTATCTGTCATAATTGTAACACAACCTCAATAAATGGTACATAAGTTCACACTGAGGCAGTTGAACTATTTCACCTACTTTTGTTTGCTTGGGAACATCTTTTTAGCAGTGTAAGAATCAGGCTAGCAAATATCTTAACACTCACCAATAGAAACAGCACAATATATTAATTTGTAGCAATTTCATTAGTGCTTTCAGGGACGTAAATTACGTTTGCAGTTCAGAAGGAGACAAGATATTGTTGCACATCATTTCTATATCCCACACGGCAACTCTAATGAAAGTGTCTGTGTATATTTCACTATCACTGTAGAGCATCCAAATGACAATAGCTCAAAAAATATCCTGCTTTTTATTGCAAGACTTGCCTGACCTAAAAGCAAACAAACAGACATTTCACTACCCTCAAATTAAAAGTCCGTTTTTTGTTTTGTATATGTCTTGCTCTATTTAATAGATGCACCCTAAACATTTGGGAGAATAAAATGCATAAACACAGCTGAAGATATTTATACTACTCTAGACAACTAATAGCCCTCTGAATTTTAGACATTACAATTCTTTCCTGGATGAAATGGACTAAAACAATTATTATATGCTTTCTGAACATTCTAACTGCTAATGGAAATTATGCTTTCCATGGAAACAAAGATTACTAAGAGGGTTCTTAAAAATGGATGTGATGTTCAGTGATGGTCATTACTGTAATCCAGAAATTAAATTTTATGATTTTTTAATTATTATTATTTTCCCATATCTGTAGTGAAGTTGTTTAGTAAAACATTTTGTGCTGTATGTTTTAATAAGGAGTAAAGAACATTTTGAAAGAAAACTGCATGTATTCTTTTGTTTAAATAAATCTTGCAGCTCTTACTGTAGCTGGAATACTGAAATCTGAACACAGCTACAGATTTCCTTACAGATTATGAAATCAAAACTTGAATCTCAGAAAATGGGTTCTCGCCCTCTCTTCCTTAAAGCTGCATTCCCTTTAAACAAGATCTTTTTCCCTTCAACTTCCACCTATAGGATCACGTAAAATAAGGAAATTCTCCGTTTCTATTAAGGTTTGTCTCAAGTCACAAATTGAAATAATTAAAAGGAACTCCTTCAGGAGAGCAGTCCCTCTAAACCCAAAATGTCACTATGTACCATATAGTGCTGCTCCAACTCAGACATCTATCAACATCTATCACTCAAGCACGCGCCTCAACAACTCTGCTCCCTTTTCTGATTAGAGATCAGAGTTGCTTGAGTTGGCTTACAGGGTGTCATCCGTTTGAATGACAGATGTCTGTGTTGGAGTGCCACTCTTGCTGCTTTTGTTTTGATTGTGAAAGGTTACACTTATCTGGCACAATTTAGACTATTTAAAAATAAATAAAAATTCAAAAGGTAATTTCTCCTTGCACAGGCTTTAGAAGAAATATTTAATTTCTAATTTAAATTCCAAAAACATTAGCTCCATGTGCACTACCCTCAGTAGCCTTTGTTTACTCAGAACAGAGCATTTTCTATGGGAATGTTTCAGCTCTCTTCAGCCAGCTTTACCTTTACCATATTAAAGGGTAACTTTTCCATTTAATCCAGCCTTAGACAAAGCTGGTAGCATATGAGACACATCAGCACCTAACGCAATAATTGTTAACGAACTACTCCAAGAAAATGATCCCCCCCTCTATTTTTTTTTTATATTAGAGACCATGGATCAAAAGTAAACATAAAATGTCTGCAACTTGCATAAATAAGTTCATTGTTGACAAAAGTTTTCAGGACTGACGCTGTCATTCTGGTAACCAGTTGCAATGGCAGCAGAGGGCTGTACGCCTGCATGCTCCAAGCTACTCCTTCGTACTTACAAGAAAATTGAGCGAACAAAAAAAAAAAAAAAAAAAAAAAAAAAAAAAAAGAGAAGGGGGGAGATTGCTCTTCCGGACAACATGGTAGCAGTGAAATGAAATACCTAGACAGACTTACCGAAGAGCTTGCTGGGAGTGTCCTCGCTGTCATTTGATTCCACAGGCGCAAGCAGGGGCTCATTCAGCTCGTTGTCTGAAGTAGCTGCCTTGTCCTCACCTCTCAACTCTGCATTCATTTCACTCCGCAGTGACAGCAAGGGCTTACTGACTTGTCCAGCTATCATTGGATCCTAGGATGGGGGGGGGAAAAAAAAAAAAAAAAAAAGAGTGAGGGGGAAAAAAAAAGTGGCAGCTTTGGTGTGCGTATACTCTCTTCCACTCCCTCTCTCTCTCGCACATACACACACACACACTCTCTCTCTCTCTCTTATCTCTGGCTGCTCCTGCTGTTATTGCTGGCTGCAGTCAAGTGAAGAGCTATTACAGATCCAATGAGTTTTCCATTACTCCCCACCCTATTAAAGCTCAACTAGCATGTGAGAGATTCAGGATGCTTTGGAGAAAAACTTCTATGAAAGCAACATAACCAACACAGCTTTAATTGTGGGATGTGCTTTTTTTTGTGTGTATGTTTTTACACCTCACCCTGTCCTTAACGTAGCAAGAAAAGAAATTCCTGTATGCTCCAACGCCACAGAAGAGGAGCACCCTGTGAGCGCTCCATAGTGATTTAAAGAGGCATCCTCAGCTGTACAACATTAACAAAATCAAATACACAGTTTCTAGCATTCCAGCATTTCTATGAAAATACACAGCAACAAATAGCCATTTCATTACATACATTCAACAGAGATACAGATTTCTTCTAACTATTCCTGTCTTTGGGATGCTATGCTCCAAAAGTCCAATAAACACACACAAACACACATTTTTCTTTTGAAAATAAAAAACACAGAAACCATTTTTTAGAAGATAAAATTAGGGAAGATACTTACACAAAGAGTTTGCAATTATTCTTGTGCTTGCAACATTATATCCCCCATAAAACATTACACATATGTATACATTTAAATTTTTTCTTGATGGTTTGGATCTGTTTTATCTTCTGCTCATTGAGGACATTTGGGGGTCAGGCATTATTTCCAAGCACACACTATTATTCCGTTTGCAAACTAATAGGCATAATATCATGACAGCACGGAAATCAGAGTAAAAAAAAAAAAACTAAAAAAAAAGGAGAGGAACAAGTGACCTTGTTGCGCTCTCTGGCAGCTATTTATTGCAAAGTTCATGCCTAAATGGTTCTTATGCAGAGAACAGGTGACCAGCGAGCAAGTAGGTTGGTTAGCATGTTCCCTCTGTCCCGTCCTCACATTGGTTGATGTTTGCCTATGGGTTTTTTAATGTATTCATGTCTGAAAAGTGAATTTGATATGACACATGATAATCTATGAAAATGTTAATCAATACAAATAGTTTAAGCTGTCATCAAATGCACTTCTTTAGTCAATACTCATATCGCTGAAAACAATGTCACTGTCACCAGGGCTTAATTTGCACAGCACTTAAATATTGGACTCTGTGCATCAATGCACTCCTCTTCAAATACTGTAGGTAAACACATTTTCTCCCTATTTAAGGCTGAAGCACTCAGCACGCATTTAGCTGAGCCGAATCCTCCCTTTTGAATACCTTGATAGGTCCACTGGAGGGCAAAATTAATACTTAATTGAATCTCACAGTCATCAAAATAATCAATACTTTTTTATTATTTATTCTTTACAGTCTGTTGACTGTTTCAAACCTCTGAGGGAATGGTGGAAAGGATTCATGGCTTTGAAACACTGTCATTTAACAAGGTAATTTTCAGTGGGGCATTAGGGGTTGTGAAACATATAATAAAACAAAAATGGTGGCTTATAATAGGAAGAAAGAAAAGAATTATATTTCTGCCATCTAACAAAACAGGATAAATAAAAAAGCAAGTGCGAGAGGGAGAGGGAGAAAGGAGAGGGGAGAGGGAGAGAAAGACTGGCTTTTGAAGGGTTTTATCATATCAAGAGCAGAGCTGAGCTTTCATAATGCTGACATTTCTCATCCTGACAATCCTAAACAAGTGGAAAGGATGAGATCGCAGATATCATCTTTCATCACATTCCCCAGCTTAAGAACCAACATGACAGCTTCTCTCCCCTTTACACTGTTAATTACTAAATAAAATACTGCTCTCTGTCAGCATTAGATTATTGCAGATAGCAACCACAAACATTACTCCATTGTTTTGTTTTGCCCCCCTCCCTTTTTTTTTAAACCAGTGATACCTACCTTGAACTCTTCAGAAAATAAATTAGGCTTGTGTCTACATATTGTAAATATATGAAACATAATCAATTTAATCAATGTGGTCAATCCATGTTATTGTCAGGCTAAATTGCCGGTGATTTATTAACATTTCATTTACTGTATTTATTAGCCAGCAACAATCTGAGCCTTGCTTAGATGTTTCTGGGGAGGAAACAAAAGTTAACAGATTTCTTTTGCAGATGCTGTAAAAAAACCTCTGACTTGTTTTGCCTCATATTCATATTGCATTATGGACAGTCATTTACCGAGGCAAAAATTTTGTTTGTTTGCTTTCATATACTAAATAATGTATTTTAGCAGATTTTGCAGCTAAAGGTCACTGTGAACACAAACAGCATTGTTTCCAAGTCTGGGCTGCTGCCCGCAGTTTCAGCTTTCAAAACTAACATCAAGAGTGGTTCCGTAACAAATGTGAATCAGGACAAAATTTGACCCTTTTCATCAAAGTATTTTGGGGAGGGAGCTAATCCTGTCCACAGAGCTACACTGCTAATCTGAAGACTAACAGCAATTTAATGGAGGTTGCTGAATCAGTAGGATTCTAGATTAAAGTCTCAGCTGCCAAATTTTGAAGTTGAATATATGAAAAATGGGAGGAAGAATAATGTAGGAAATGTGACAGCACTGGGAGAAACCTCAGCCCTTAGATGTTAGTGAATTCCCAGCAACTTCAACAGGGCCAAGATTTTACCTGTTATGTACATCAATAATTCGGCCTCATCTGGAGTACTTTGTTCATTTCTGGTTAGCCCATCTAAGAAAGATACGTCAGAAAGAGATGTGCAGTAAGAATGATAAAGAGATTGAAAGGATTGGGAATGTTTACAGAAAACAGTGAATAAGAACGAGCATGATCAAAGCACACAAAATCATAAATGGCAGGGAGAAAACGTAGATCAGGAACTACTCACCCTACCTCATCTGAGGAGAAAAGGGGCCTCCACTGAGAGGGAAGAGTCGTAAATCTAATAATAATAAAAGATACTTTTCCAAACAGTAAGTGGTGAAAACCTGTGGAACTCATTGCTGGGAGATACCACTGAGACCTGCACCGCAGTAAGCATCAACACTGTTGCTCACATGGCTGAGCAAACTCCTAGCAGTGAATTTAAAACAGCTTTGCCAGCACAGAGCCAAGGACTATAAAAACTGAAGTGATATAAACTGTTGCCCCTTCCCTCAGATGGTACCAGAACCTGTAGTTAACCCCCAGGGTAGCTCTCTCTGTCAGGTGGTGAATGAGTGACAACTTTCTCTATAAGCAGCCAGATTAGATACTGTCTAAAATTCTAGTCTACATGAAGACTAAATAAATCACTTAGATGATGGGTTGAGGGGAGGTTTGTTTCCTTCAAAAACACATTTATAAAAAATAGACATTTTTTAACTTCAGGTTGTCTCCAGGCCTTCAATTGCTTTTGGTACTTAAGAATGTGCCTCTTCTTGCAGTGGCTTATGCGTGATTAAAAACTATTATTTTTACAAAAATCACGATAAATTCTAATCCCAGGGTGCAGCAAGTGGCCTAGTCTGCAAAATCCCTTTCGGACCAGATGGATTGTTCCTATATTTCCCAAGGGCCTCCCTAAAAAACTCTGGAGTAGTTGCTATGCCAGCTGCAGGCCTAGCAGCCTTCTTCTCCTCCTCTGCCCACCTACAAAGTCCATCCCGGAGAGGACCCATGGCACTGGGGAGGATGCATGCAGGCAAGCCATTGCACATGCATCTTTTGCAGATAGTCCCATCAGGACCTGTTCTCCTCCCTGCCCTGGATGTCTGTGGGCTTGAGGCTCATTGTTTGCTTTTTGGGAAGGTGTTAAAGGTCTGGTTACACTTTGCAGTGTAACACAGGATCTTCCATTGACTAACAGCCGCACTGAAGTTTTAGCTTTTTATATACAAAATTGGAAGTCTAAGAATGCATAAAAATCAGCAAGATGAAAAAAGGGGCATAATGTTTCAGAATTTCAGATGGCATTATAACCGTAAGAGCAAAGATCTAGTTACGTGAGAACCAAGGAATTGTAGTCCTCTTTTTCAGAATATACCGGTATATACCACACATGTAGTGACAAATTTTACACGCAGCTCTTGCCGATACTCATAGAACTTGTCATCTATTTCTTGTCCAACTAGCGGTAGTATTTCCAGACTTGCCTGTTTTCTGTGAGATTTCGTTGACAGTTTTGTGCAGCGAGTGGTCCTCCCTGCTGTGTGTCTCCCTTAAGGGTGGCTTATAGCTCCTGTAATTCAGCTGCAATACCTGCTACACCTCTGTTCAGCTCTACCACTCCCTGACGACTTAAACAAGATGTTGGGCTTAATTTAACAGTAAAAATCACGTGGATTTGCAAATGCAGATTACAGTTCTGGTTACACACCCTCTTTTAAAAGCCAAACCCTTTACCTTCTTCTTAACTGCAGCACTGTACGAAGTACAGGAGAACATGTATCACTGTGTTAAAAGCTTTGCCTCTGCACTTTAGGGGTAAAGGTGCAGTTTCTAAGCAAAACTATTTAGTAATCAAAGACAGCTTTTAAAGGAAACTATATGGGTTTTGTGTGAAACATGCCCTAGGCAGAAATCTAAAAGTGGGAGAACAAACTACTTTTATCCTTAATGTAGGACTTGGGTAATGATAGGGCTTTATAAAGGCTTCATGAACTGATTTAGCCACTGGTCTAAATTTTGTACTTTCTGCACCATAAAAATTGTTGGTCTGAATTTACTTACTTTAATTAGGAAAAAAAGTAAGGTACTTTGTTTTTCTTTTTATTTTGCCCTTAGTTTGAAATTACTTTGCACAGACTTTATTCCTCTGACTTAGAAGTACTTGAAATTAATTTTCTGATTTTTTTCAAAACAGGAAATAAATCATGCCTCCCCTCTAGGATTCTGATCTTGCACAGACTTCCATTTGGGACA